AATACGTTTTGCTGATGAATCTACAAGTCATTTAATGTCGAGTCGAAACAATTTCACAAAATTATAAATAGTACGTACATGAAAAGCAATAAGTATGCACAATATGCATTTTATTAATCCTACAACATTTTTGAGATCGATGAGAACAATTTTTCTCTAAGAAAATTAGGTATTTTGCCAGAAATTCATTGAATAATTTTAAGTAAACTTTTAGTTTTTTTTTATTCTTCTTCTTACCTTTAAATTTATTGTAGCACATAGTTAATTTTAAATTAAAAATTGAAATTAGATACTGGTAAGCACACAAAGATAGTACTTAAATGAAATTCCGCATCCACATCCATGGTCCAAAACAAACCAAGTACACAAATACATTTTCTAATCTCTACCTCGCCGGGGCGTGTTCCGGCGCCATGAATCACGTCCCATTTGCATGTTCGAGCGGGTGCTTGCCAACTATTTGTTGTTATTATTAATTTGCGAAATGCAGATGGCGCTTTGGACGCGATCCACGAGCTCACCTCGGCATTTGAGGGTTAGTTGAGCAAATTAGAGTCGAAAAACTTTATTTTATATGCTTGCACGGCTTGTGCATTTGCTAAGAAGAAGATCGAAAAATTTAAGACTTAAGAGTAATTTAAACACCTCATTCAAGGAATCCTGTTAATTATCTAGGTGGGTATTTTAACAACAATTCAAAATTAAATGCTACTATAAACACAAAATTAATACAAAATCAAACGACTACCGTTTTCCAAAAATTTACAATTATGTGGATAGACTATATTCTTTTCAAAAAATAAAATTTACTTACAACATTGCAGAAAAAGCCACCAGAGCTTACATCTAAAAACTCCCTATTTACAACAGTTGCATAGCATAGTTACCGAACGCCTTTCCCTCGTTCCCATTCAGTATTAAACTGTCAGTCAAAATGCATAGAACGGATCAGCGCAAAGGTGTTCCGTGTATGCAAATTTTTCACTTTTACCCTTCTCCTTGCTGCTGCAATATCAACTTTAAACGCGAGTTGTAAAGTTAAAGTTTCAATGTAGAGTCCGTGATAAAAATAATATTTGCAACGGTGCCTATCGGAAAGGACTTTGATCGTTTGCACGATACAAATAAAGTTGAATATGGCGTATTAAAAAATAAGACTACGGTCTTTTAGGAATTTAGATGTTCTCTAATTTGCATGGGGCATTGTCAAAGCTTTATTTTTAAATAGCCACAAAAGATTTTTTTAATAAACAACATTGCGAATGCACGCCAAGTTTAAAATAGAACATCTGCTCGGATATCGTAGGGTTAGAAAGTGACGCGAAATTTGAATAATCGAGATAATTATTTTCTACCTGGCCGATATGGATCGGAATTATTATTACTCAACCCAATTTTTGATGCAACTCTAAAAATAATATGTAATACTCGATTTTGGTCATAAAATGGGACAACTGGTGGAACATCATAGATTAAAAATGTAATGAATTAGTTAAATTAGACTCTACCAAAGAAAGTTGCGGTCTAACTTTTTGTATTTTTTTTAACTTTCAGATAACTGTTATTTCTTATAATTAAAATCTGTGCCCGTCCAAATATTGTCCAAATATTTTCCTGATATTTTTCTGTAAAACTTTAATTATTCAGCCTACTTTAGCACTCTTTGTAGGAACCTCTTATAATTTCAGTAAAAAAGACATCTAAAACGTCATATAAAAAAATTATAGAAAAGTGATTCTTAAATAATGTAATTCTCAAAATACAAGTAACAAAATGTATTTGCTTGTATGTAGTCGTTACCAAATAAAATACTTAAAATAAATGTTTAATAAAATATTGCTTCATTCAATTTAATTATAAACGCGTGCATCGACATTTATTTGCAAGCAATGAGCGTGAACTAGCGAAAACTAGTCCAAACAATGGTTCCATACAAAATCGACGTGTTTAGCGAATTCGCGAAACCAGTAAGACTAGTTTGTTTACTGGACTGGTTCGACCGCGTGCACGCCTCTATTTCATTTTGCAGTTTTTTTGGCGAATGACCGGTTTTGGTCAAGGTAGTAAGCAAATTCGAAGTTAAGGTTCCGTATACTTAGCTTAAACAAGTACCTATATCTTTTCTAAGAATCAGAGAGAGATTCGAGAAAACTTTTCCTTGCTTAAAACATTTTAGACTAAACTACACTAGGTAAAATGGCTTAAATAACTTTTATTGGCATATTCTGTTCCTTCTTATGATGAAACTTGTTGGATTAAGTACTTAACCAATAACCATTTAACATTTTGTCCTGTCATAAAACAATAACCATCTTATTACAAAACGTAGACTCAATAATAAACCATGATTTAATGTTATTAATGATTTGATGATTTTGTAATAAGACGGTAAGAATATTTTTTCAAAATGATGAATTTACTTATTGAACCAATCAGTAAATTCATACACTGCATTATTCATAGATTTTTATTTCTCACGGAACCCTAAGGGTAAAACTTGCCCTTGCAAGCAGAAAACGGGTAGAATTGGTACGTGTCCTTTGTGCCATACAAGTTACATTGCCCGGAATGACCTGCGTTTTAGTGCATTATTAAATTAGCTAATAATTAAGGCGTTTGTCGTGTAGACTCCTAAATTCACATAAATCATCGTGACATTGTGGTTGGTATTAAAGTAATATTAAAAGGTAACAAACAGTATTATACTTTCAAGTACAAACGCCACTAAAACTTTTCGGACCACTGAGATAATACTACTTTCACTATAAATTTATCTTAATTCAATTTAAACTGTAAAAAACGTACGTACATAATTAATTACTTGTGTAGAATTAGGAATCTATCAGAATTTTAATTACCTAAGTAATTAAGTAGTAGAGTTCTTAATTCGCATGTAAATGTTGCACCGTTGCTTATAATTTATATTATGATTCAAAAATATAGGTAGTAGGTAGGTACGTACTTATTATTATTCTGTGCCACTACTTATATTTACTTTAGTTTTTACCAACTCCAAAAAGGTTTAGTTCTGCAATCGATAAATTATTTGATTATTTGCTAGCTCTCTAAAAACTCATTTCCTTTTCCTTTCCGTTTTTCATATGCCATTGACCGATTGCTATCTAGAAAAGGACATGGTGTGCTCAATTTATGAAAATGTTATTTTTGTATTAGTATGATGTAATTAATAATTATTATCCTTCGCATTTTTCCCAGTACATTATCTTTACAATACCTATTCCATCAATAAAATAATTTGATAGTAAGTACCTATTAATAGAGTAACAACGTCATTAATATACCTCCCTTTTAGAGGTGGGCCTGCTTTATTCCACCCGAGGTCCAAAAATTTGAAAATAGAATGCCAGATTTGGCGCCAAAACTCGGCTTGTGCGAACGCGCGCCGCCTCACACACGGGCCCCGCCCCACACACGGCGGCCAATCGCGCGACTCTATACACCCTCGCGCAACACGCATATTGATCTGTGCGGACACCGCTCGAACCGTTTACATTCGACATATCACATGCTAAACACCGACAAACAATAACATATGCGAAATACTCAAGCTAATTTGAACCATATTTTTATAAGGCTAAAGTTCAAATTACAGGCAACACGTTGACGGCGCTTACGACGCATTCGAAACTTGCAGGGGAGTAATTTATAATATCCCGCGAAGACAAGCAAAATTCAACTTTAACTTGGGTTAATAAGGTAAAAATCGAATTGTACGGTGCAAAGTCATTTCAGCTCTTTAGGAAAATAAAGCTCAGCCGTGTGTAGTTGTTGTCCTCGAAGTACCAAAGACTAGATTAGAGTTATCTCAAGGTGACCACCGTTAAAATTCACGAGTGGGTGTAATTTTATTGGAAAGTTTAGTGTGGTATAGTTATAGCAGACTCAAGTTACCTCCTACCGACCTAAATGTTTTATTTACTAAGCAGGACTTTTACATTCATAATTTTTACTAATGATAACCTTACGCATAGGGATACATTAGATACCGATGCTTAATTAAAAATTGCTCCGTATAAATAACAATAAATAAATCAAGTGAATAAAAACAGACAAGTCAACAATCAATCACAAATAACAAAAAAAAACATTTTAATTATTATATTACCTAAGAATTATTTAAAGCATTTTATAAAACTGACCATATTAAACTTTTCTCTAAAACCTAATTCAATACACACGCTCTGTAACAAATGCTCAAAGAAAAATAAGGGGCAATATAGCGCCATCTATTGCTATACATACAATATCACAGCGTCATCTAGTGTTATGTTCCGATACAATAATAACCTTACAGCATCATGATGATGGGTTCATGTGATGACAACTACTACCCGCTAGATGGCGCTAACTAGGTTAATAGCACAACACCGATAAAGAAGTACCATAGTCAAACGCTAGATGGCGAAAAAGGACGCAAATAATTTACTTTCGTTTATTTATTTACATAATATTGTCTTCTTAATTTCCCAACCTAATAAGATTTTTGTAACTTTATATTTTACTTTTTAATAAAAAACTTTCGTGAGATTACATTTTATTTTCGAAAAAGTTTGACAGTTCAAAAGATTAAAACTTCATAATTATTATAGGAGTTAATAAAATTAATTAACAATAAATAATGATTAACATAATATTCTATTTATCTTCAATATTGATAAATTAACAAAATCTTTATTATAGTAGTAATACACTGATTTTAGTAAAGTGATAATAATTCTAGTCAAGTTTTTCAAATCATAAGATAGAAATACAGGGAACAGCACATCAGATTAACATTCATTCATTAACATCGTAGCAAAATAGCTTCCATTACAATTACATAAGATCCTACAGTATTTAGCTTATCATGCTGTCGACTGTACAAATAAAAAAATACATACATTTTTAAATATTATTATTGCACAATATCTTTCATAAGCACCTACATAAGTTAAATACATTTTTATATAAGTGCAGTGTCACTGCTGAATTTTTGTATAAAATCCCAGAAGATAATATTATCACAAGCTTAGCCAACATCTATTTAGTCATCCATGTACAACAAATATATTTTTAATAAGTTGTTAACTGTTGCTTGCATTATGACTGCTGAAATGATAATCTTAATACTTTAAGTATTGCATAAGAAGTATAGATTTGCGGCCTAATTCAACATCAAAACATTAGCTTCATACTTTGGAAGGAGCCACATCCTTTGTATTTGAAGGCTCGTTCAAAACTAAAGGAATGTCCCCTCCTCCGTTCTTTGGCACCCAGCCAGCAGATTCCTCTTCCATCTTCCGTTTCTCCTCTTGCAGTCGCTCATGCTCGTCAATTTCTATTTGATACTTCGGTGTGGTGATGCCGAAGAAACTTGCCAGTGACTCTCCGGCATAGTCAACAGCGTTCAACACTTTGTTGCCAGACTTCCATGCGTAGTGGCCAAACCAGGGACCCCAATCTAGCGTTTTCTGGACAATTAAATACATACAATATTAAAAGACTTCTTCACAATTTTCAATTAAATTAAAAAAAAACTGCCCAAATATTGCAAGTTATCTTGCAACCAAAATACATTTATTATGTATAAGCCCTTGAATGTATGAAGTCATCTGAATGTAAATCAGTTGAAGTCACAAAAACAAATAACAGTTTAAAAATAAGGATGAATCATTGATCAAGTAGGTCACTCGCGACCTTGCGCCTTGCAGGATTAAAAAGGTGATTTAAACTGCAATTTAATTACTAAAGCGACTTAACTAACTTATCCATTAAAAGATGGGACTACGTTTAAATAAAAACTTAAGACGATTTCTTACCGGATCCACAGTTTCTTCAGCCTTGGGATTACTTTCAAGTTCTGCAACATTTTCCTCTAAAATCTCCTCGTCTACGCCATCACTAAAATGCAAAACTCTCGCGGGTTTGTTAATGGTTAGTGTAACTGCATTGGTATTGTCCTGGTTTTCCATTTTTCTAATTGTTTAATTAAAAACTCTCGTGTGATGATTCGACTTGAATTTATTTACATTTCTTTGTTTTGACAGATTAATTTTTTTTGCTGGTTCGATTCTTTTCTTTTTCAGGAATAAGCAAAGGAATATTATGATATACAGTATATAGCTGAATCCTCAGTGCAGTCTTATTAATATTCTGTGATGATATTCCTTTTGATTTTCTAGTAAAGATGTGGTGAGACTCTTGGTGAGACTTCATGTAAAAATGGAGGCCACTTGGAACAAAAACTTGAGTCAAATACCTACTTATCTCTATCTCGCTCTCTGTGGGCCGACCTCTCTTTTTAGTGTGGACTGTATTGCTATCTCTTTATTTAAATCTCCTAGTAAATTCTTCGAAAATAGCCAATTCACTAACCAAATCAGAAGTTAAACAAAAATAAATAATTCAATATTTGAACTACGATTACCTAGTTAAATTAAAAATCACAAAATTGTAGGCCATTTAGGCTTAATGTGTTGGCGAATCAGGAAATTACAATCCCAATTCCTGAGGAATCAACATCCATGTGGCAACATCGGCCCAATCCGGCCCATCATGGCGGTTGTTTACTATGCAGTTAATTTCGTTTGAGATTTTTTTACAGGACCTAATCATTTTTTTATCACAAGAAATGGTGCAAAATTTTGTAGTGCGTGGTTGCGGTAGTACGTGGTGTCCCGGAAGAGGCTTAAGATTCCACGCGTGTGTTTATTTCGTGATTTCTGATATTGGATCATTGTAAACATTTTTCACAGTAATTTCTTCCTAAAACGTTTTACCAGTATTTACACTTATTATTTAATGATATCTTTGTCAAGAAATAAAGATTTTACATTGAGTTTCATTGACTTTGAGCAAATTAATATTTTGTTTATTTAGAAAGAGAGAGTCTGCCCACAGAGAGCGAGATAGTGATACATAGATTGTGCTTCAAGTAGGTATTCGAAGTGTGACCTCCATTTTATCTTTAGCTTCATGGTGTCAACTGTCTCTCAGTCATGTGTCACTGTCACTACTGTCAGTGTCAGTCATTAATTTTTTGATTTTTCACGCACGGAAATCGTTCTTCCGTAAAATATTTTGTTTTATCCACAGAAATTGGAAAAATGAACGTAGACAAAATAAGTCAAGACAATCAATTGGAAGGTTTCTGTAGGGGATGTTTAATCAAGTATGATGACCCATCTGATTTGTTGCAATACACTGAGAAAAACAGACGTTTGTTTGTATACTCCACCGGCTTACAGGTATGTTTTTTGTAACTCTGCATTTTTAAATGATTTCTAACCATTGAACTAATATTACTACGTATAGAACAGACATCGCGAACAAAATATGTACAGTGCGGGGTGCGGGGCGGGAATTTGACGGACAGCTGTCAGTCAAATCCATGACTATCAAGTTTCATAATTTATGGCGATAAAATCTGCACCAGAAAATGTCGTACTTCATTGACAGGATTGCACGAATAGTGACGTTCCTGCGGTCGCCTCATCATAGACATTGTGAATCGATTGTGAAAATAAACAAATCGGCTAAATTGTGTTAAATTTTCATGGTGCTTAATAGCAAAAAGGTTCAGCTACTTACATTATTTTCTTTTATTGTGCGTTTCCTGTAATGTAATCTAAGCTCCCCTCCCTTAGACTAAAATTAGCCCTCCTAGACAAGTGACAAAACGTAGCAGTTGAAACATTCGAAATCACTTCGCTCTGCCGTTTTTTGGTGTTAGTTACTTCACTCTGTGATGCGATTTTAAAATTACAACTGGCGATTCCGAATTCACAACTGAGGGGACTGAGGCTAATCGTGTTACTTGTGCTACAAGTGCGTATGGGCTTCATACTGATGCTTAAGCCATTAATTATTTTTCTGCCCGATTAAAATCTAATGTAATCGATAATCGCCTTGAGAATCGTTAACTGGTATTTTCTAATTCGATAAAAAAATTACCCATCTCTAGTTTAAAACTGTCATCCAACAGCGCACGAAATATTATGAGTTATAGATAATGATACCATTACAGAGGCGACACTTCGTTTACGTTTAGTTTCTGCCTATTGAATTGGATACTGTAAGGAAACATCGTCATCATCATTTTAGCTACTGGACGTCCACTGCTGAACAAAGGCCTCCTCTAATGATTTCCACATCGCCCAGTTGATAGTGGCCTGCACCCAGCGTCTTCCTGCTATCTTCAGTCAGTCCATCTTGAGATTTTAGAAAAATTCCCACTCGTCACGGTAGGAACAAAGCTAGGGATGACCCACGCCTTCACTCCAGAACCAATAAAATAACTGAAAGTCAGAAACTTTCAGTTATTTTATTGTCTCTATTGTTAACTATCTCAGTGGTTGAGTACACGTATAATAGCTGTGAGGTAGAAGTTACGGGACTATTCCCACCTCTCCTTTTCACCGCTGCATCTCCTGTGTAGCTAGCACCTAGACTAGTTGATTTAAAGCCAAGGTATATCAGTTTTTAGGTAATGACTTAGTGCATCTAAAAATGTAAAACTTTCTAGTTTTTTGTAACATTGAAAAATCTAAAAAGAAGCATCATTTTTTTTACCAAGTGTTTCTAAGAAATTTAAATGGAAGCTTTTGATGACAACGTATTGCTTACTTTTTCAGCTGTCGAACGAATCACTTTTATACTCATAGGTCCTGTACATCGGTAGATTTGGTAAATAAATGAATCCATCCGGACTCAGAAACTAAAAAAATTAAAATAGCTGTAATTTTTTAATACTGGATTTGTCGATTAAATTGATCATATTACTGCGCCCTAACGGGTCGGACACTGGTGACCAGACACACTGTACAATTATTATAATTTTAGCCTATCTCGTGAGCTAGGTGTCAATAATTAGGGTGATTTACTAACTAACCAGTCGCATACGAACAACAGCAGTGAGATTCAAACAAGTTTGATCCATGATGCCGCACGACTATTGTGTGAGCCCACCCGTAACCCAAGCTTATTTAGCTTAACACAAGGGGCTGGACGGGACTATTAGTAATTTGTGCAATACAAAGTGCTTATAATCTTTAAAAAAATCTTTTTATTGCTGTATTTAACCTTCCTTTCGTATACTAATTTATGCGTCAGTGTCAAGTCTGCGATTTTTATTCTTTGAAATTTTCGTAAAATGGCTGCCGCCGCGGTGACGCCTTGTAATTAACAAATTAAAATTAAATTAGTGTTTTAAAGTGCATAAATGTACAACTTAATGGTAAAAAGTCATTCCTTGATTTTTACTTAATATGTATCTGGAGTTATTTGAACAGTATTTTCGTCTATAGGATGGCATATTTCAAAAAACAAAACTGCACTCAAGCGTGTTGTCACAGCAACCGCTGAGCACATACTAATTGAATTTCGGTCCGTGGACCTATTTACGTGCCAGAAACAGTCTAGTTGACATGTCTTCTCTAGTACGTAGTACATTATCACTCAATGTTTCTAACAAATATATTGAGCAGTATTATGTGGGGAAATTCAACCCAAAAAGGGTTTATTTATTTTATTTTATTTATTTATTTATTTATTGCACAATTGGGTTAGGAGTAATTATTGTCATTCAGACAGCAGTGTAGCAGAAAAAAAACTTTCTACCCACTAGGTATATCACAGATAAGGATAGATCATGAAGCTACAGATAAAAATGGAGGGCAAAGTTGGGAACAAAACTTGAGTCAAATACCTACTTATATCTATCTCGCTCTCTGTGGCCCTACCTCTCTTTTTAGTGTGAACTGTAGTATTGCTATCTTCTTATTTAAAAAAAACAAGTTGTTCTATATCTATTCTGATACCCATTTCTTAAAATGTAAATTTTAAACTTATTCCAATAAAGAACTACTCAAAATTTGACTTTACGCCGAATTAAAAATGGTCTTTTATAATTTCCTATGCCTTTTTATGCCACGGAAAACAAGGAAATTAGGGCCAAAGAAATTAGATTTATGCCTAAAAGACACCACAGACAAAAACCTATTTACCCTATGCATTTACTATTTAAATCATGGGTTTACCCCTACAGACACTACATCTGTGTAAATAAACAATAAAATTAATCCATTGTTTAGCTGCAAAAAACCGTCCAAAGAAATTGACTTTTTAGTAAACAAAAACCCAAGGAGGGACCTACTTATGCGATTTGTCGCGAAACTGTTCAACGAAGTACTGTCCTGCCTCGATGGCCTCTTGGGACGAAATGGCCGAGTGTAACGGTGCAGTGCATTACATTCTAAGTTCTTTCGTTTCGTTACTACAATGGTCGAAAAGAAGACCCAGGGAAATTATACTTTTGACTCGGACAAGAACTTAACTTCACTTTATTTCCTTCCTTTAAGTATTTGACATTTAAAGTTTTTATTTTCCGATAGCCAAACGTTTCTCAAATATAAAGAGAGTGCTATTAGAATGAAAATACGCTTCAATTTGTTATAATGTGCCTTCATTTTGGCAAACAACAGTAATGGACATAACAAGGAAATTAGAAAAACGACTTTTGATTAAGTTTTTCTACGGTATTATTTGTAGATTCTGCTATTGTAATAGCAAAAACAAATAAAACTTTTGATTAACTTTCCCATAAAAATAGTTTTATACATATAAATATAAAAAAACATGTGTTCGCCTGCCTGGACACAGAAAATTTACTGTTTCGGCGAAATACCCAAATACAAATAGCAAAAAACCCATAGGAAATGAGATATTTCCAAAAAAAGCGCAAAAAACCGATTTTTGTGACCTTTGACCTTAAAATTTAATAGTTGCTTACACCCTACCATATGTAGGTTTTGAGACAACTTTTAGGGTGTCAATATACAAGTATTTACCACAGTAGATATACATATACTGTGTATTTACAGACTTATAGCTGGGTATCTTTAATTCCGAGATTCTTACCTAATTTAAGCTTAAATGACTGGACTATCATACCATATCGGCATGCAACAGAATCAATTTTTCGTGATTCAAGAAATTATACAAAAGAATTAAATTAAATGTCACAATAATAATTAACAATGTCAAATTTAGTAG